CAGCAGGAAGTGGAGCAATTAACAAGAGGAAATGGATTTTTCTGTGCCTTTACCATGACATTTTATTCCCAAAGGAAAATGTGAGTTGTTGAGGCGCTGGGAGTCGAATATGCAAGCCTGTAAAGAAAAGCAGTTGCACAATTAAAACTTAATTAACAGTGACAGAATAAGATTTTTCTGGCTAGTATTTTCTCTTGTGCCTCTGCTGGAGTTTGTCTGCCAGGCTCTGTAGGGCAGGGTATTGTCTGCCACATTGTGTTTGCACAGTCTATGGCATGATACAGCCTCAGTCTTGACTGCTGCTTAGGTGTTACCATAAAAAAAAAGTGATTAATGCTGATAATAAATGGTAGAATCAATTAGAGGTAAGGTAGAATGTACAAATAAGGTAACTTTTCTAATATCATGATTGCTAGGCACATGCTGACATTTTTTTTCCCTTCCCACTCTTTTAAAAGAGAAAAAAAAAAAAAAAAGGATAATCCAGTGTTATTAACATACTGATTGGGATTCCAGAGGAACAGCGACAGTCTTAAAATTGTCATACATCATTTTGTTTTGAAAGAGAAGCAGCAGCACTACGGCATGTTAATTTCTAATTGAATGCAATATTTTTGCTAGGCTTGGGCAAGATCTATGCTGATCCTTGGAATAATGTAGTGATCTTGAGTTTAGATCCTTGTGAAAAGGAATCATTATAATCAATATGGCACTTTTGATCTGGGAAGTTTGATCAGCAGTGTGAAGGTTTGAATAGATGCATGGCTTAGGTCAAAGTTGCAGCAGACCAGCTGAGCAAACCAAGATGGAAGGCTCAAAGCTCACAGTATCTGAAATCTATAATAACCAAGAGTCTGTAGCCTGCAGGATTATCAATCTAAAAATTTAGACATATAAGATAGCATTCTGAAAATTAAAAAAGGCAAGAAAGTCTGTTGTGTTGCCATCTGTTCCTCCTTGGACTATGTTCTTGGTAACGAAAGGAGGGGTTATGAGCACCATTTGTGGCAATTAAGTTAAATATGAAGAGGAATAAAGATTGACAAATATGTGTGACTCTGGGGAAAACTTTTAATATTCTTCTCTGCTATTGTGTCTGTGAGATAATCATTCTCCTCAGAGAATGAGGGTTTTTTAGATGTCACTAATCTCTACAGAATGAAAAAGAATTTCCCTTTATCCGTGATTTGCTTCTCATTTTAAAGATAGAAAATTATTATTGTTCTCTTATATTGTAAAAGAAAAATTAAAATCTTAGCACATAACTGATGGTGGGAGAGGTCATATAAGGTCAGATTCTAATCTTTAATACATGACACTCATCATCATGTTTCTCAAATAAACTAAAATTGTGACTATTCATGCATGAACAATCACGATTTTTCAGATAGAGAACAATGTGCACAGAGCTGCCGAAATTATCTCTGCTCTTGTCCCTTAAATTTACGGTGTTTTTTTTATACAAAATTCTATGCTGTTTTTGTTAGAACACACTTACAAATCAAATACAGAATCACAGAACTGAAATAATATCTAGCTGTTTCAAACAGTGGGGAATAAGGATGGTGATTGACTTCTCAGAAACCCAGCATGCTGTCACACCTTCTAAGCTCTGTTAAGACTAGAGTAAAGCGTGTTTCTAAAATATGTTAGCTAATACTTTTTTTGCTTACACACCTGCCACGGGATGCAACTTGCCTTGCTGATATATAAAAGTATGGCTCTCACTCTACACTAGAATTTTAAATGTGTAAGCAAACTTGTCTAAATTTGTTATTTTAAAACTTAGATGTAGTTGGTGGAAGAGGGAAGCTTCCTTTTCACAACTGGCAAGGAAATTACTAAGAACCAAAACAACCCTTCCAGAAAAAAGAAAATTACTTGTAGAGTTGTGCATGTGTGAACTTAAAAAGTTCTTCCTTGGGGAAGGCACAGAATACATAAGAATTGTCTACTTACAGAAAGGGCTGACTATATAGTTAACGGATGTGAAGGTTTAATGGCTGGAGTTCTCTTCTGGTGAAGCTTGAGACAGTCCCCAAGGACCAAAGAGTGCTGGTAAAATGATTTTGCTGTTGATATAATATTGTCTACGTTAGTGTTTCTGTCAGCTTAGTTGTTTAAATTGTGGCTTTTTTTTAATACTCTTCATGGACAAAACTTTGTTATGTGCTGTGCGAATGGGGTATTGGTGTACTCGCATGTTAGCCTAAGTGACAGGGGCTAGTCTAACAGAATGAGAGCAGACAGACCGCAGCAGTTGGGAGTGATCTAAGATTCTCTGCAAGAAGCTAATCATTTCTTAGTTTAATCAACAGTGAGGACTTACCAGACCCTTCTGGAGATAATTGAGAGTCTTGGGAGCATTTTCCTCCTCCATCAAGCTGTGGAGGTAGATTGGCTGACTAGGGCTTCTTTTGTTTGCTCACCCAAACATACGAGAGTCTCTAGGCAGCAAAGGCTAGTAAAGGAAAATCAGGAACACTGCTAAAATGGTGGAATAGGGAAAACAGTAGGGAAAAACATAGAATAGGGAAAACAAATGAGGAATCACTGAAACCAGGTGGAATTGATTGTGCTCAGATGCAGAGGAACGTCCTAGGGATCATGGGAAGGAACCAGCAGCAAAACAGGTGTTTGAAAGAGGCATCCCAAAACCTGCAGATAAGCAGGCTAGAAGCACAGCAAGAGATGTAGAACATGATTAATTGCAGTGGAGTCATTCTTCCACCAAGTGAGTTCTTTAAATGCCCAGTGAACTCTCCATCAACACTGGGGGAAAAGGTAAGTAGAGGTTCCTAAGAGCTCTTCCATCTGTGAGCACAAAACCCAGAGAGGTATGGGACAGTTGGGGGTTATCTTGTGAGGACTTCGTGCTAGAAACTTTTGGATATATCACAGCCTTGATGGCACAGTGGATTTGTTAATACCTTGTTAGAACAGACAGGCTAGCTGTGATCATCGAGCACCAAACTCCCATCTGTCTCAGGATCAAAGAAGCAGTTCAAGCAAGTACAAAATACATTTGCTATACCAGTGTGTCCATTCACCTTCTAAAAGCTAGGGAGTCTTGTTGGGATAGACATTTCCAGGAGGAGAAATGCTGGAGGCTGAGGCAAGCAGTAGATGTTGTCTCTCATCTTCTTGTCTTGGGAATAGTTGATTAAAAAAAAAAAAAAGAATTGTGGAGGAGAGATGATACACCTCTAAGGTGCAGCAGGGATAATGTATTCAAGACAGAGAAGTCATGAATGAATGAAGTTTAGATTTCACTTTCTTCCCCTTCTCCATTATTAAAGAGATAGTGAGTCCTCATGGCAGAAAGTGTAAAGAGGATGACTGCTTTTAATGAAGACAGAGAAGTCATGAATGAATGAAGTTTAGATTTCACTTTCTTCCCCTTCTCCATTATTAAAGAGATAGTGAGTCCTCATGGCAGAAAGTGTAAAGAGGATGACTGCTTTTGGAAAAAAGCCAAATTCCAGGAAACACGTAATGGTCAGCTATCCTTAGTGTTTTCTTGCCACATATTGCTATGGAAAACATTTTGAATCTATTAAGGAAAAATACTTTGAGTTCACTCTCTTGTTCTGTAAAAATCAAGTGGAGTATATTGGGAAAGCAGGGGAAGATGAAAAGGGGCAAACCCAGTGAATCATATAGCTTAGAGTGTTGGATCCGCAGATTGCACAGCCTTTTGCAGGTATGCACAAATTTACATGCAGTGTGGTGAGGAATTTATTACTTGGGTAGGAGAAGAGCCAAACTTGTCCTGGAGCAAGGAAACTAGGACCTGTGGCTGGAAAACGTGCTTAATGTCATCCTGTCCAGCTTGCGATAAAGACCAGTGTATGATACAAACCCCACATACTTCTTGGGGGAGGTTCTGTTACTGTCTAGTTCACATTTAACAATGTGAAATGTGCTCAGCCCTTTTGCAGATTTCATATACTCATATATATTGGTGAAGGATTTTGAGGCCAGTAAATTGCACGCAGATCTATAAGGGGAGAGAAAAAGCCCAGTCAGGTGGAAAGCAGGGGCACAAGGCATCAGCAGTCTGACATAACAGAGGAAAGTAAGTCTGGTTAAAAATCCCCTTTCAATTAAATTAGAAATGTTACAGACCATACCGTGGTATCATCCAAAGAGACAGGTGGAATTTGCATTCAGAAGGAGTTTTTTTGTAGAACTCCATGAAAGGGTGATGTGTGAGTAGGGTAAAAATGTACAACCTTTTAAAGCTTGCAAGAAATGGAGAAAAATTGAAGTAGTGGTTGCTAATAATGTTTGCTGTTGTTTAGCTGTCATCAATAATTCCATTTAAAGAGTGGTCTCTCCAGGGTGTGATATCTTTAAAAGAAAAGCAAGCCCTGAAGAAGGCTGCATGATATGATTTATAATATGCCTTATCATCAAGGCTTCCTTTGAATGATCACAGTAACATTTGGTATGTGTAGGTTCGAATCCTTTACTCAGGGTGTAGATAGTACAATGCATCATCAGACCCTCATTTATGCTTCACTCTGCTGAAGAAGATGCTGAGTGGTAGGACAGTCTGTTTGAAGGATGTTAGTATATTGCATTTGAATTGCACTGTTCTACTTAACCATGTTTTCTGGGCAGGATGTCTTTTTTGATGTACATAATGGCACCTGAGTGATGTACACACGTAATGGCACCTTGGGGCTAGTAGTGTTTTCCCAGCTGAGGCTCCCTCAGAAGACAGCTTGGCTTTTGCAACTGCTGATATATAGGATTAACAGGAAATTTCCCATGAGCACTAAGGATTTTTTTTTGAGGTGTTAGATTGAGGAAGCATCCAGTTTACTTACCCATCTCCTCCATTTCATATTGTAATTTATAGATTGACTTTTATCGTCTCATTAAGTCCCCTTTCTAGGCTGAGACTTCATTGCAGCTTGGCAGGAGTTGCCAATATATGCAAAGAAGAATCTTATGGTAGAACTGCCAAGAGGAGGACGGAGTGGGAAAGGCTCTGGGCCTCTTGAAGCAATGAAGAATTTCTCTGGGTGACATGAAGCTTTTATCTGAGGTGGAAGCTCATTTAAAGCTGTGTTTATTATCATGCTTTTAGTGCCTTCTGAGCTGACCACAGTAAAATACAGACATCAGAGGGCAGCTCCAGGCATGCACCGAAGGTTGGAGTTGTGTCAAAGTAGCAAGCAATTCCCATGGAAATTAAAGCTATTTAAAAATCTGATTGAACTGAAAAATGGACTGTGGTTGAGCGAAAGAGAGTGCTAATAAGAACAAAAGCTATCACCTATCATTATTTTCATGCAGATGGTAGCTAAGTCTAGTATTTGTCCTTGTGATAGTCACTATTTGATTAGTTGCTCATTGCTCGTGGTTGCTAGTTTCCTTTAGCAATGAATAAAGTACAAGCCCCTAGCAGCTCAGCTGAGCAGATTTAAATACCTTACCCTTCTTTACAGGTATAGTAGCATCCACAGCATTCAATATTCCAGGCAGTTGGACTTGCATAGATCCTCCTTTGGATTGCTGGGCTGGATAAAGCATTTTAATAGTCTTGGAGTCTTTTAATCACAAATAGAAGTTAGAAACCATGTCAGTACCAGGATTTACATTCTGATGTAGTTGGCTTGCAAGCGATTGGATCAGTATGCTTTCTCTGAGTTGCTGGTCTGAAGTTGTTTGCATGCAGTGTTTCGGGTGAAGGTGATATCAGCTCCTACCTGTTTTGACTTTGTTGATGGGTAAATTGTATTCTGTATTTGTGAGGCCATTGCACTAGACACTGGAAGCCACTGTAGTGAGCTGTTTGCAGGCTAAGATCAGCACTTCAGTGAAAGGCAAACTAGCATGTCAAGCCAATCCAATCCATGAGAACAGGGCAGAGTCAGCTATGACCTGTACAGTCAGGTTTGTTTTTTTTTTTTTCAATCTTAGCAGTGATGCATACTTCCCTTGTGGGTAAGATTTTTAGGGAGAATGAAATGCCATAACTGAAAGGCTCACACTTCTCTAGGATTACCGTAGTGCTTAATTAGATGAGCTAATAAAAAGACCTGCAGTTTAAATCTACTCCGTGTCTGTAATCCCATGACAGAGTAATGAATCAGGATGTTCTGATTATTTAGGCTAAGTAGGACTTTTCAGTCCTTTTCCCGGTGAACTTTATTACAAGTTCTTCATTTCCTACTCCGGGATCTATGCTGTCATTAGTCACTTCATCATCTACCGTGCCCTCTCAGTCCTAAGGAGGTTTGTGATTTAAAGAATGCTGCATTTTTTTCTGGCCATGTTTGTACCAATGTTTGAGAGATGAACGGTCTCTCACGTGGCTGTTACCCACCTCTTTCTGAACGTCACCTTCCACCTCTACCTCTGCTCTCCCCAGTGCTGCTCTCAGACTCCACCTAGGCAGTGTTCATAATGAATGAGTCTGGTCTGGTTTTAGGGCATTCTGTCTTCCTGTGCACTTCTCCTTCATCCTCTTGAAGCAGGGAGAATGTTTGGCTGCCAGCTAACTGATATGTTGCTGTTAAATATAAAGCTGTCCATCTGCAAAAAAATGCTTTCAGAAAGACAGTCTATAAACCATTCCTTTAGAGCTTCCAAACCATAAAGGGAAAAACTGATCTGTAAAGTTCACTTTTATCCTGTTAAAATGAAAATTGTTGTGAGTGATGAATAAGAACTCATCCTTTACTTTTTCTCCTCTGGCTTTCCACCCAAAAAGGAAATAAAAAACGCTTTCCATTTTCAGTTGCAACCCGTGTTCTTTTGCTTACTAATGATAGAGTAAACAGCTGAACTGAGAGGTGCTCTCTGTCTACAGATGCCACATTGAAAAGATCATGAGTAGGAGAAAACGTTCAATACATATAAGGTTGTTCTTATGTAATGAAAGGCACTTTATGTAATGACAGTCACTGAGTTTCCATTTAGACCTTTCACATATGTTGATGTATGTTACTGCTGATAGACAGGTCCTCGCTCATAGCTGAATGATTTGTTCAAAGATAGCAAACTAAGGCTTGAAACAGTTGATTTTGTCAAAGGCAGGTTACTGGTAGAGTTCTGCAAGGACACGTATGAGATACTGTTCTGTTCAACATATAAAGTAGTGGTCTAGGAAAACAAAAAAAGGATGCTTAGCAGGTAAGACTGCTGATAATACTGGGGCTAGGTAATACTGGCATGCTGGCTACAAAGAGTTGCACCAGGAAACACCTATTATGAAGCGACTGATCAGCTACTTGGCAAATGAGGGTCAGTGTACAGGGTGAAATTGTTGCCCAGATACTTGTTAACAGTGTTTTTTTTGGGGGGAAAAAAATCTAGTTTATTGGCATCTTGACATAGGGTAACACTTGCACAAGCAATCAAGTCTCCCAAGCACGATATCTGGTTGCTGTCTGGATGGTTGTGGAAGTCTGTGTTCCAAGGACCCTAGCCAATGGTGTCTTTGGCTGGATCAAATGAGATTCCCTGAACTGCTGTTTAGCTCAGTTTTAACAATCCATGGTCCTATATAACTACTACAGCATATGCATGATCCGTTGCTGCTGATTATCTTGATTTATGTACAGAGCATCTCCTATCTTAACTACGTACAAAACCACTGTCCTATGTTACTATTTCTGCACCTGCAGGAACAATTTCTATGGTGTATTTATAATTCTGTGTACAATTTGGTCAACTCTGGAGCAGGAACAGCCTGGGCTGTCTCTAGAAGGGGCCAGATTTTTCCATTCAGGTTGTTAATTGACTCATTAAAACATTAATTGATCTGTGCAAAGTGGGACTGCATGTGGGACTCTTCAAGATAGTCCAAAATTCCCACCTGGAGCGCTCCGACACTGATTAGTCGAATACTTAACTGCAAAGGCAGCTGACCTTATTTCAAGTGGACCTTATTTCAAGTTGGTCCATTATCTCATCTAGGCAGGTGGCTAGCTGGGGCTAGACTACCCAGAGAATTAAGAGCTAAGTATGGTGGGTGTTGCACGTGGGCACAGCTGTGCTACCCAGCTGCACTGCAATTACACATATAGGAGAAGTTCGAATTTCATGCTTGTGACTTAAGTTCTATAGTTCTTGCCACAAAGTCACGCATATGGGAGAAAACAATTCTAGTTTGGTGTCTGCATTCCTTACAAACTCAGAAAATTACGTG